AGAGCTACTATCATGCCATCACTAAGCCCTTGAGTGTGTTGAAAATGTGCCTCAAAGAAGTCGATAGTTCTTTCTGGCTTTAAGTAGCAGGAGCTATTTTCAGGCTGTCGATTGGAGCTCTAAAAAGGCACCTCTGAGTATCGAATAGTTGAAATTTCAGTGGAGGTTTACCCCTATTGGGTGCAAGTCCAACTTCTGTATTTTCCTACTCTATTCGAACGATGTTCAGACCGAGGGCCAAAAGCTCGCTAAACACAGCTTGTAATTGCACCAAGCAATTTAGCAATTAATTACTGATATTAATAATTCCACACATCGGACCGCTTTTTGCACTACTGACGCATAAATCGACACATTCGCATGGAAATTCTCCGACAACCAGTCCAAATAGTTTACATTTGAATGGTGCCTGCATTCTCATGGTTCCAAGCCGTTTCCGGACGAGTAGCTAAAGAGAATTAGCTTAGAAGATGTTGAAAATCGCCTGGACGTTGTGTCTAGTGGCCAGTGCATTTTGCGGCTTAATGCCTGCCAATATTATGCCGAGGGTTCTTCTGCGTAAGTACCCATCATCAAACAGGTTCACCGTTCTAATCGTTTCGTGGCAGAGTTCGAATATCGGGAATGTGTGCCCGGGGAAAAATGCATTGACATCAAACAGTGCCAGTTTTTTACCGATCTTCTAGACAAAACGCCCATTCCCAGACCGAGAAGCATCATCAGAATCATCCAGAACCATCAGTGTGGCTTCGAGCATAAAATGCCCAAAGTTTGCTGCAGCAGGTAAGCAGGTAGGTCGGCTCTTACCGAATAATAAACATGGTTCACTGTAGTCATTCAGCTCCAAGAACCTCCGTGACAGCAACAACATCAACGGAAGAACCTCCATCGACTAATCGCTTGGTGGCGAACCATTTGGAGAACCATCGGAACTACCGTCGGTTGCCCATGGATCGTTGTGGGCCCATTTCCAGGCAACTGCTGGCCAATCGCATCACGTCTGGACAGAAAACCGTGCTGGAGGAGTTTCCCTGGATGGCGCTCGTTGCCTACAACACACCAGGGAGGGAATTGTCGACGAATCAGGCCTTCCTATTGGTTAATTGATGACATTTCCAGGTGTTGGGATTGAGTTTCGCTGTGCAGGAACGATAATCAATGAAGATTTTATTTTGACGGCGGCACATTGCATCTTGAATAACACACTGTGAGTATCAAAAGAGATAGACATTCCTTCAAACTAATGGGTTTTTAGGCCGTCGTTCGGTAGAATTTCTTCCTGACGTTTCGCAAGCACGAGTGGCTTGCATCTTCAGAAGTGGTTTGCTTGAA